TGGGAGGCAGAGGCAGGCAGATTTCTGAGTTCAAGGCCAGCCTGGTCTACAGAGTGAGTTCCAGGACAGTCAAGACTACATAGAAAAACCCTGTCTCAAAAAAAACAAAAAAACAACAAAAAAAACAAAACAAAAAACAAAAACAAAAGAAATCTTCTAAAAGGTTGGCCTGTGGGCAAGGTAATGGGGTATTTTCTTGATTCATAATAGATGGAGGAGAACCAGCCCACTGTAGGTGGTACCATCCCCAGGCAGGTGGTCCTGGATGTAACTGTAATAAGAAACCAAGCTGTGACCAGCCTGGTCTACAGAGCAAGTGTCAGGACAGTCAAAGCTACACAGAGAAACCCTGTCTCCAAAAACAAAAACAAAATCAAAGCTAGGCAAAATTAAATAAAATTAAAACAAAAGGCAAAATTACAGTGGTGGTGCATACCTTTAATCCCAGCATGCAGGAAGCAGAGGCAGACAGATTTCTGTTAGTTCAAGGCCAACCTGGCCTACAGAGCAAATTCCAGGACAGCCAGGGCTACACAGAGATACCCTGTATAAGGGGGTTGGGGGAGAGAGGAAGAAAGCAGGCTGAGCAAGCTATGAGGAGCAAGCCAGTAAGCAGCACTTCTGCATGGCCTCTGCTTCAGCTCCTGCCTTCAGTTCCTGCCTGGACTGTTCTTCCTGAAGTGTGGTCAGACTGTGACTGAAACAAAGCCTTTGCTTTCCACATTGCTTTGGGTCATGGTATTTTATCACAGTAATAGAAACTCTCACTAAGGCATCTTTCTTTTCTGATCTGAAGAGAATTTGCTCATCACACCAGTGTCTTCCCTATTACCAACTGGCCAACCCATGGCATTTTCTTTCATCCATAACAGAATTTAGTGTATGATGAATCTTATTCAACACTTTCTCGAGATAATGATAATGAAAATAAGCACACATAGAGAGGAACGTCATCCTTAGATTCTGTCACACACCAGTTTGCCAATATTTTTATGCCAACCTAACTATGAACAATATCAAGAGCAAAATAAGAAAGGTGGTTTTCATGGAGAACAGGCACACTCAAAGAGACTAAAAACAAAATTTTAATGAGGAAAAAAATTAAATCCATACACACAAACAAAAAATTAAAAAAACTTGCAGATAAAAGAGGTTTCAGAGAGTGCTTTAAACTCTTAGAAGAAATGGCATATAAGTGTCCTATCACACACCTGCACACTTTCAACATTTTTTGTTTCCTGGTGGGAGGGCTCGAACCCAAGGCCTTGCACATACTATGCAAATGTCCTACCAACTGAGTCATGTCTCAAGCTCAGTAAGTATTTTCTTTCTTTTTTTTTTTTTTTTTTTTTGCAGCTTTTGGGAACTTTATTTTCCTTCCACCTTTTTTTTCCCTTTGCTCAGGTGTCTGCAGAGCAGCTCAGGACCACTCAGTGGTGGCTCCAACCCACTCGGTGGCCTGTGCTGTGGGAGCTGCTGACCAGTCCTCAGTGGCTGTCTGCGCACTCCAGTCCTCCGTGGGGAACTGCTGGATGGGCACAGAGGGTACCTGCACACCCTCAGACCAGTCAGCCACCTCAGGCTGAGCAGCAGTGAACTCAGGAGCTGGTGCGGTCCATTCACCCTGGAATTCCTCCTTGGTCACAGCCTTCTCAGCAGCAGCCTGTTCCTCCTTCTCAATCTCCTCTGGGTCTCTATAGAAGTAAAGATCAGGCATAACCTCCCATGGGTGCTCACGGGAGATAGTACCTCGCATGCGGAGTACTTCCCGGGCCAGCATCCACCACATCAGACCCACTGAATGAGCTCCCTTGTTGTTGCATGGGATGGCGATGTCCACATAGCGCAGGGGAGAGTCTGTGTTACACAGAGCAATGGTGGGCAGGTTGACGTAAGAGGCCTCTGTGAGGGGCTGGTGGTCAGCCCTGGGATCAGTCACCACTAGAAGCCGTGGCTCCCTGAAGGCTGCTTGGATCTGATTAGTGAAGGTCCCAGGTGTGAAGCGGCCAGCAATTGGAGTGGCTCCTGTGGCAGCAGCAAACTTGAGCACAGCTCGCTGGCCAGTGTTCCTGGAGGAGATGACACTGATGTCAGCAGGGTTCTCAATGGCAACAATGGCCCGAGCTGCAAGCAACAGCTTCTCCCAGGTCCTCTTCAGATTTATGATGTAGATACCATCACTTTTCCGTTTGTAGATGTACTGCTCCATCTGAAAGTCAAGATTAGTGCCACCTAAGTGGGTTCCTGCAGCAAGGAATTTGAGGACATCCTCCTCCTTCATCTGCAGGACATCAAGGGCTCCGGACATTGTGTAAGTTTCCCTTTTAAGTTACGATGGGAACCAAGAACAACGCCGTATCAGTAAGTATTTTCAAGTGAGTAAAGACAAAAAGAAGAAAAGTCAATACGTTTGTGATGCAATATCTAACTTACAAAAACGATCATCTCAGAAATCTGAATATTTGTCTTTGAATATTTACTAAAATTGATCTTAAAATGAGTCTCCGGTAGATGACTGTTGAAATCAGGAGAGAGGATTTTGTCACACTATCCTGTCTTGGGTAACTTTGAATTTTCTATAAGAACACACTTAAAAGACATAAAATAAGATTCCTATGGGTTTGGAAAATGAATAGATTGGCATTTTCAGAACTCATACTTAATTTAGAGAATTATCATAGAATCTCTTCAGTGGGGATGATCCCTGGGCAAGGGGGTAATGGCGTGACATCTGCTCTGTCAGGTGAGAACAAAGTAAAAAGCTGAAATGACCAGGAAGGGGAGGCAGGAGGGAGGGGCAGGGTGGCATTTTAAGCGAGGTGGCTATTTTAATGTTACAAGCCTTTGTTTTTCTGACGCTTAGCCACCTCATTAACCTATGTGTCATTCTGAAGTATTTTGCCATGCTCTGATGATTAGATACTCACTTGCTAACAACACAACATTTTAAATGCAAGCTCTTCCCTGGAGTCATGGTGAATTAATTTTCAATTAGTTTTCATTAATGAACTTCACTTTTATGGGCCTAATTGCCATCCTGGCTTCAGGAAATGGAACAAGTATTTTGGTCAGGTGTGGGCTAGATGACTATTAAAGACACAAGAATATCCTGGGCTTTCTAGACTTTACTTCAGTCAGTGTCTAGAAGCTCCTAGTCAGAAGTTACAGCCATGTAACTCACACACCCACCCTCAGAGCCCATGAACCTTCTCTTTTTATCATTATCTCATAATTATCATAAGGGAAAGAATTAGATTTAAGCAGAGAAAGGAAATAACTGAAGGTCCCAGAGAAGCTGACAATGAGGGAAAAAAAAAGAGAGAGACAAAAGTCGCCTATGATGCCTTACTATAAGGTGAATGCCTATATGTCCAGTGAGGAAATGAGATTCCAGAAACTAGGTCATTTCAATGTCTTTCTTTATCGAGAAGAATTCTGCTGTCCTCAGAAGCTTCATGCTTCTTCAGAGAAACTCACCATCCCCTCCTTCCCTGTAAACATCACTGGTAGGCTTGGGATAGACAATCTTTATGCCTTTAGAGGTATCAAGTAATAATTACACATTGTCTAAAACAACTCCCTCCACTTGTTAACACTTGTTATCTGTCTGCCACATGGCATTAGGTCCCAAATGGCTTTTATGTGAAAATAAAACTAAATTTCTTCCTATCTGGATAATTTTTAATTGCTATTAACTAACACCATGGAACAGAACTTTACATAGCTGCTTTACAGGCACCGCACATGAAAATAATACCAAGAATAAGTGTGATCTGAAACAGTGACTCTGTTTTTACAGCTCAGGAGAGTCATTTGCTCCTTCTGCTCCTTTGAGGTGTCTCATGTGGAAAGGTTTAGTACAGGTTTTCTAGTCTCAAGTAATACTAGTCTAAAATCATTTTCAAATAGTCACAAATAAATATGAACATAAAAGCAAAAAACACTTGGGCTGGAGAGATGGCTCAGTAGTTAAGAGTGTCGACTGCTCTTCCAGAGGTCCTGAGTTCAATTCCCAGCACTCACAACCATCTGTAATGGGATCAGAGGCCCTCTTCTGGTGTGTCTGAAGAGAGTGACAGTGTACTCATATATGTAAATTAAAAATCTTTTTTTAAAAAAAATCAACACAGCAAAAACATTGTTCTTGAGTTGCTAATGAACTCACAGCCTGGGTATACACACACACACACACACACACACCCATACTGTAACAATTTCCCAGAAAGCCAGAGCAGTGCCCTGAGCCACAAGTCATGACAGGAAGCTGCCCGTGTTCTTTCTACTTCCACTTAAAAAGGCTACATCTAAAAACTACCACACAGCCTGAGAACTTCAACTTTATTATTTTTTAATCTTATTTAGTTGTTGACTGATACACAGAAAAATCACATAAACTATAAACCTCTGTGGAGAGTGATGTGATGATGTAATACTTGTCTACACTGTGTACTTTGTAAATCTAAGGGAACAAAGCTGTCCCCTCAAACAATCATTTCCTATAGTAAAAAACACTCAAAATCCTTTCCTCTGGATTTTTAGAAACTGTATTTATTGTGAGTTTATTGTCTAGACAGAGGTATACTAGAAAGAGCTCTGATTTAGAGCCAGCCAGACCTGATTTAATCCCACTACTGAGCTTACAAACAGCTCCTTGGGAAGGTTTCAGTTCTCTCTGTTTTCTTGTTGGTAACATAGAGATAACAATGCTTACATTATAAAGGTTTTATGTTGGATGGATGGGCTGAAGATAACTCATGCTTACTGGAATTTTTTTAGGTAGGGCCTCATTATGTAGCCCTGACTAGTCTGGAACTCACTATGTAGACTAGGCTGGCCTCAAAGTCAAAGATATTTGTCTGCCTCTGCTTCCCCAGTACTTGGAATTAAAGGTGTATTCCACCATGTCCAGATACCAGAACTTTTCATTTGTAATTTTTTAATGTTGAAAAAAATAGCTAGCAAAAGAGCAATTAAACCAGACCACTAAGAGAAGATCCGGGGCTAGCTTCGGCAACACTTATAATAAAATGGGAAAGATACAGAGAAGATTAGCATGGCCCCTGTGCGTGGGTGACATGCAAATTTGGGAAGCATTCCACTTGTTTTTAATTTAAAAAAAAAGAGAATCTTAATAATTTCACCGAAGTCACTGCAAATATATGAAATCCAAAGTAGAATTGGGACAAATAACATTAGCTTTTACCTAATAATAACCAAATAATCAGAATTCTTTTTTATCTTGAGATCCTAATGTAATTACACCATTCCTCCCTTCCATTTCCTCCCTCTAAGCTCCATCCATATACTCCTCCCTGCTCTCCACCAAATTCATTGTAATTCTTGAGTAACTATTATTTCATGTATATATGTATCTACATATACATTCCTAAATCCAACTGGCTCAGTCCAGATAACTTGTATGTATGTTTTCAGGGCTAACCATTTGGCACTGCACAAACCAATTGGTATTCTTTTCCCAGGGGAAGGCCCACCTCTCTTGCTCCCCACTTTCCTTAGCTACCTATACTTCTTTGTGAAGAGTTGAGACTTCATTGGTGTCTTACTTAGGGTTTCACTGCAGTGAACAGACACCATGACCAAAGCAACTCTTATAAAGGACAACATTTAATCGAGGCTGGCTTACAGGTTCAGAGGTAAAGTCCACTATCATCACGGTGGAAAATACGGCAGCATCCAGGCAGGTATGGCGCTGGAGGAGCTAAGAGCTCTTCATCTTGATCTGAAGGCAGCCAGCAAGAGACTATTTCCACACTAGGCAGAGCCTAAATTTAGAGACCTTGAAGCCCACCTACACAGTGATGCACTTCCTCCAACAAGGCCACACCTCTTCCAATTATGCCACACCTCCTAATAGTGCCACTACCCCTGGGCCAAACAAATTCAAACCACTACAATGTGCCCCCCACACACACACAACTCCCAGGCAGTTTGGCAATAACCAGAATTTTTTATAATCATAAACAATGATAATTCATATTTCTACAGAGGGCCCCTCAGATTATGGGCCTCTAGTGGCTCAGGCCTATAAGCCCATCACTTGGGAGACTGAAGCAAGAGGAGGGTTGCAGGAGCTAGAGGTCAGCTTTGGGCTACACGGTACGGAGTAAGACCCTGTCTTCATGGAAAAGAAAAAGAAGGAAGAAAAGAAGGAAGGGAGAAAGGAAAGAACAAAAAAGAAAACCACAAAAAAGGAAAAAGGGAGGGAGGGAAGGATAGAGGGAGAGAGGGAAGAAGAAGAGAGAGGGAGAGAAGGAAGGAGAACTTTCGAATCATAAAGCAGGACAGTTAAGTTTGATTTACTTTTAACAATAAAGTTATCTTGCTATGTTTTACTATCTTGACGTACAAGACCCAAAACTAACAGTTCCATATATGTAGAAATGTTTGCCACTCCAAGTTAACAATATTATCATTGTCCTCAAGTTTTTAAATATTTTCCTTGTGTTGAACATGAAAACAAAGGTACCCATGAGGAAAGCTGGTCTTTGTCTATCAGGATTTATCAGAACAGATGTTTGCTTTCTGTGTCCTCATTCTCCAGTGATCCAATAATCACTCGCTTAAAGGGTGAGCAACTGTATCATTTTTTTTCAGGTTTTCATAATAAAAAAAACTCTGTATATAATCGAAAATTTAGACATCTTTCAAAAGATTCTGATTCCATAAGCCTAACACCTTAATTTTAGATGATTAAAGTATAATTACTTAGATATTTTATAAAAGGAAAAATGCTCTGTTGTAAGTGTAGGCTGTTCTGCTGAGCTATCAAATGTACACTGCAGGCCTCGGCTGCTGTTTGATGAGCAAACGATACACTTAGTTCTTCTCAATGCAACTTTACTAATTTCTTCAAAGCTAGTTCTCTAAATTTTTATTTCATTTCAATAAATGACACTTGTACACAGTTTGAATATCCATATTGAAACCTTTTTATCTGTATCTAATTTAGAAGATAAATTATAATCCAGAACTCTGGGTGTTCCTGTTAATAATTGTAAAAGCACGTATGTAGGCTTTGTTCAAATTTTTAAAATTATTTCACTATGAATGTGACTCAATGGCAGGAAATGTGCCTAGTTATTAAAATTAAAACAAAATATTTCCAGCATATGTATTTTTATATTTGTATGCACCAGCATAAAAAAAAATGTTTCTGTTTTGATGGACAGAAACCAAAGGAAGCAAGGAAATGCACAATTAAACCAGCAAGGTACTGTGCCATCCGGTGCTCAGCCAACGCAGGCTATGATAGGGGAGCCATTAATGCACATTCTTTCGTGTTATGATGACATATGGAAGGCTTCCAAAGTTAACACAGTATTTTGCTGCTTACTGGCTTGTATCACAGGCTTAATACATTTTGTTTTTTGTTTCATTCTGTGAAAGACAGGGGGAGAGAGCATTTTTAACAGCTATGTATTTTGATAAGTCCTTTGAGTGTTTATAAAGCATTAAATATATTAAATAGTTAATTTTAGGTAAGAAACCCATGAGTAAGAAATCACCGTCTCTCCCCCATTTCCTTTGTCACTGTCTACTCTGTAGCTACTCCTCATTCTCTGATATGGCTTCCCTTTTCTCTTCCTCTCAGTCTGCACTTTTTTTTTTTTAAGAGGATACTTAAGACCTAGTCTGGGGAGTTGAAGAGATGTCTCAGCAGTTAAAATCACTCGCTGCTTTCTCAGAGGACCCAATTCCCAGCACCTGCATGCGAGCTTACAATCATCTGTAACTGCAATTCCTTGGGCCCTGATGCCTCTTCTGACCTCTGTGGGTTCCTGCTTCCATGTGGTAATTCCATATGTAATCTCATGGACTTACATCAAGGGTCATGGACTTGCCTTCTGAAAATGCACACAAGCCCCCAATTAAATGGTTTCTTTAGAAACTGTTTTGATCCCAGTATCTCTTCACAGCAATAGAAAGGTAACTAAGCTAGATTATAGAATTTCTCTGTGGATAATGAACAAGTTTCGAAATAGATGTTTTAATAACTACCAATGTAATTAATGCCACTGAACTGAAACCTAAAAGTTGCAAAAATGGTAAATTTTATGTAAATATGTAATGTTTTGTCACACAACAAAAGAAATGCAAGAAAAATTGGCATGTCAGACTGCATATTTTAAAAAACAAAAAAGAAAAAGAAACCTTAATACCTTGAGTCCAGCATACTGGACCACATACTGATCCCATGGGCAGTCTTTATTATTATTACTATTATTATTAATGATTTTTAAGGCAAGATTTCTCTGTGTAAGCCGGGCAGTGGTGGTGCACGCCTTTAATCCCAGCACTTGGGAGGCAGAGACAGGGGGATTTCTGAGTTCGAGGCCAGCCTGGTCTACAGAGTGAGTTCCAGGACAGCCAGGGCTACACAGGGAAACCCTGTCTCAAAAAACCAAAAAAAAAAAAAAAAAAATAAAACAATATTTTTTTTTTGTGGCCCTGGCTGGCCTGGAACTCATCCTGTAGACCAGGGTGGCCTTGAACTCAGAGACCTACCTGCCTCTGCTTCCCAAGTGCTGGGGGCCTGGCTTTGGTAGACAGTCTTAACAGGCCCCTACCTTCCATTTCTTCCCCAAGAGCCAGACACAGATGGAGCTGTATTAGATTCTCCAGAGCAGCCCAGCCTCTGTCTAACTATCCTAAGAAGCTTCACATGATGTCACCTAGACTGTGGAATCAACAATTAAGCCCAGTGTACCGCTCAAAACTGTGAGATGTCATAAAACACTTTCTGGTTTGGGGATAATCTGTCATGCTGCAACAGACAGCCTTGTTTCCTCTACTTTCCAGGAATCAGTTGACCTGGTAATCCCTGGATGCCTGGGTAACGGCATGGGCTAACGGTGCTCAACCAAAATCTCAGAGCTTCAGAGAATTGTCTGGATAATGTAAAGCACTGGTCTCCCTCACCCACACACCCACAACAGCAAACCATTTTAAACATGGTACCTGAGTTGCTGGTAAGTATTCTTGACATATGAAGGCCAATTCAACTAAGTATCAAGAGTTTAAAAACAGCACTCTATTTTCACTCATAAAAGATAAAATTATTCTCTTATCAAAATTTCAAACATGATTCTATATTCACATAGACTCAAAAATATTCTTTGGTGATATTTTAAACACTACATGACAACATTTCTTAAGTGTTTTATCCTAAAATTAGGAAGTATAGTTTTGGCTGAGTGTGTGTGTGTGTGTACGTGTGTGTGTCACCAGTGAAGCCTGTGTCCTGGGGAGAAGGTAGCCACTTAAAGCAATGACAAACAGCAGCTCCACAAAAAGTCCTTAGGCAGGTGTCAGGAGCCTGAGCCCATCGTTCGGTTCTACCCATCATGCATAGGCAGGACATATGCTCTCTCTGGAAGTCAGCTGCCTCCTCCATAGAAAGGGAATAAAGAAGTCTTTCTGGTTGCACAACAGACTCTGCACTCCCAGACACAATCAGTCAGACTGTACCCCAGACCAGTCACATCAGAATCAGAATCATTGTGTGTGAAACAGAGGCCTTAGGATTTCAAAAAGAAATTCCCCAACAGTGTGTGTGTGTGTGTGTGTGTACATGGTAAAACATGTGCTTAGTATGCATGGGGACTTGGAACTAGTCTCCAGTATCAAAAGAAAGACCAGCCTCAGTGTTACCAAATGAAAGTGTCAGGAACGTGGGGAAGCAAAGAGAAAGAAAGAAATGGGAGATAGTGAAGTGCGACGCGCCGCCTCGCCGAAAAGGAGAACACGCCACACTTCAGGA